CCTAAGGCTGTTAGGAATGGGTGGGAGTTGAAGTCCAAAACACCCGAAGGGCCCAAAATAACTGGAGGGGAAAAGGAAGGGGCCTGAGGTTGTTAGGAATGGTGGGATTTGAAATCCAAAACACCTGTAGGGCCCAAAATACCTGGAAGGGGGAGAGGAAATGACCTAAGGCTATTAGGAATGGTGGGAGTTGAAGTCCAAAATCCCTGGAGGGCCCAAATTGCCCCATACCTGGTGTAGAGAAGCCTTAAGGCGAGAGCGTGATTGGGTTTAACAAGTCTTAGACCTGTTTCTGGTTGTATTTGACCTGCTGATTCCAAAAAATGGCACCAGTTTCTCTCTATCAGCTCTAGTTTTGGGGACACAGAACATATGTTCACCCATATCTGCTTCCAATGTCCATAAAACATCATGATAACCATATTCAAGAAACTAGAGCTCATGCAGTCTAGGTAAAGGTCTTCCCCTGACTTGAAGTCCAATCGTGTCCGACTCTGGGGTGTGGTAGTCATCTCCATTTCTAAGCCGAAGAGCCAGCATTGTCCATAGACACCTCCAAGGTCATGTGGCCGGCATGACTGCATGCAGCGCCCTTATGCAGTCTATCCAATGCAATTTTCTGAATCAGTGCCACAAATAACCCCAGGAACAAGCCTAAAAGCCAAAGCATCATGGTTTTTTGTTTTTGTTTTTGTTTTTGTTTTTTGTTTTTTTGGTTGGGCTGTGTTATCATAGGATTCCATAGAGTTTACACCCAAAGGCTTGCACCATCAGTTACTTGGAAAACTTATCAGTGAACGCACACCCCAATTCTGGCTGGATCTACACTGCCATACCATGCAGTTTGGATTGCACTGAACTGCATTTTCTGGTAGGTCTACACTGAAATGGTGGAAATGGTGGGAGTTGAAATCCAAAACACCCGGAGGGCCCAAGTTTGCCCATACCCGAATTAGCAGCACTTGAACTGTTAAAGCGTATGGAATCCTGGGAGCTGTAGCTTGAGGAGGCACTAAGTGGAAAAGAGGCTGGAAAGAATGAGATCTCGCTGGTTTACCGAGGTAGTAAGGAGACTATAAAGCACATCCTCCAAGCACAACGGGAGCAGGTTGTCCTGGACAGGGACCAATCTCTTCCTCTCTATCAACGCTGTCTAAACCCGTGAACCCATAAACACTTATATTTCAGTGACCGGTGGGGCTTCTGTTTAAGCCTATGCGACGAGGCTGTAAATCTCGAGGTGTGTGCCTGTGTACACACAGATAGTCACTAAACAGAGGATGTTTCCAGGCAGTGTTTGCTCTTTCCATCCAAACAAAACAAAATCAGGGTTTGTTCAGTTTCGCGCCTTCGAGGTAGTTAGATCTGTCCCAAGAAGAGAAGGGGCATATAATATGAACTCTCTCTCATTGGAATTGAGATACTTTTTGTGTTTGCTAGAAAGTAAACCTCCCGCAGAAAGAGCTCTAGGGTTTGGTCTCCCAAATCACATAGACCTAACTGTAAGGCAGTGGTTCTCAACCTGTGGGTCCCCTGATGTTTTGGCCTTCAACACCCAGAAATCCTAACAGCTGGTAAACTGGCTGGGATTTCTGGGAGTTGAAGGCCAACCCCCCCCCCCCCCCCCCCCCCCGGGGACACATGGGTTGAGAACCACGGGTTGAGAACCACTGCTCCATTCACAGAAAATTCACCGCCCAATCCCAGTTATGGCTCCTCGGGAATAAGGATAGGTACATTCAGTGGGATTCATTCCTAGATAGGTTTGCATTTGTACCCTAAGGACTATTTCCGGTATTGAAGAACTGGACTATCAGGAAATTAGACTTACACTTGGATCTTCAGTTTAACACTGTGGTTCTCAACCTGTGGGTCCCCAGGTGTTTTGGCCTACAACTCCCAGACATCCCTGCCAGTTTACCAGCTGTTGGGATTTCTGGGAATTGAAAGCCAAAACATCTGGGGACCCACAGGTTGAGAACCACTGGTTTAACACCCCTTTAATTGCCAAGGCACAGTGCTATGGAATCCTAGGATTTGTAGTTCCGCGAGGCGCCTCCTCTCTGTAGCAATAAAAGCTAAATAATTTGTATAACCGCAACTCCCACGGTCCCACTGCATTATAATAATAGCTTTGTATTGCCGAAGGCTTTCATGGCTGGAATCATTGGGTTCTTGTAGGTTTTTCGGGCTATATGGCCGTGTTCTAGAAGCATTCTCTCCTGACGTTTCGCCTGCATCTATGGCAAGCATCCTCAGATGTTATGAGGTCTCACAACCTCTGAAGATGCTTGCCATAGATGCAGGAGAAACGTCAGGAGATAATGCTTCTAGAACATGGCCATATAGCCCAAAATACCTACAAAAACCCAATAATAGCTTTTATTTATATTGAGCCATGCTGGTTCAAATGATATATCAAGCTGCATTAATTCTACAGTGTAAATGCGCCCTAATACTGCCGATACTTCCTAGTGCACTGTCCATGGAATTGTCCTGCCAGAAAGTCGGAATGAGTGAAAGAAATATTGGGAAATGCTTGAGCCCCAAATCTGTCCCATCATTAACTGCAAGCAAACAAACCCAAACGCCCCCTTTGAAGTCAATCTAGTATGAGGAGCACATGGAGGCAAATACTACCATGTGTTGACAGGACCAATTGGGGGGGGGGGGGAGAAAGAGACTTAAAATATATATCTGTTGGCTTAATATAAATAGAAGCATGTGTGCCTGTTTACATAAGAACTGTGTGTCTTGCACTATCCGGTTTATGGGCCAGATAATCATAAAGTGCTCATATCTTGCATTGTAAATAGAAGAGGTGGGAAAGAGAAACACAGAGCGACCACAACTTGCATGACAAAGAAAGTGTGCAGTGGTTCCTATGAGGCCGTGCCCTGACATTAGAAGTAAATCTCATTGTGTGTGTATATGTGTCTGTGTGTGTATGTATCTCTCCATATGTAGAATGAATGTGAGAGGATAGTTGTGGCCTTGACTTTGCCACCAACTACCAGTTATCAATGTATGGGTAAATTGTAAGGCCTTCGCTTTAGAAGCATTACTTTGGACATCACAGCCTGGTCTATTCCACTCAATTTTGTCACACACTACAAACTTTCCTGAAAGAGCAGTCCTCTTCTCTTTGGTGGCCAAGACTTCCCCACCAGGATTTCTTCCCAATGTCAGTGCACAGCACCATAGGAATCGCTGTATATATAAAAAACCAAGCCTGGATATTGTTTATGTAGGCATGCGTCCACAGCTGTGTTCCAAAGTAAGTCCCATTGAACTCAGTGAAATTTATCCTCTCATTCTAATTCTCTCATCTGTAAGGTTGGGAAACAAAGAATGAAAGGTAATGGGAAAAAAGGAAAACCACACTGCAGCTGGATTGATACAACCCAGAGCCCTACGTTTGCAAAACATGGGCAAAACATGGGTTGAAGTCCTAGAATATGTCATTTATAGAGTCAACATAACTGCCTCGAGTCCCTATAAGTAAATAAATAATAATAATAATAATAATAATAATAATAATAAGTAAATAAGTAAATAATAATAATGTCTAGCCCCAGCAGACAAAAGTCCTTTGTCTCACCCTGGTCATCCCACAGATATATAAACCCATTTTTCCTACTTCCAACAGACCTCACTGCCTCTGAGGATGCTTGCCATAGATGCAGGCAAAACATCATGAGAAAAATTGCCTCCAGAACATGGCCATATAGCCCGGAAAAACCTACAACAACCCAGTAAATAATAAGTCCAATTCGACTTAACAGCATATGTCAATGCAATTTTCCTACATTTAACTGACCATTCAACAGCTGTTCCATGGGTCTATTCCAGATGGGTCTAACCCAGGCATGGGCACACTTGGGCCTTCCAAGTGTTTTGGACTTCAACTTCCACAAATCCCCAACAGCCTCAGTCCCCTTCCTTCCTTTCCTTTCAGCTTAAGTGGCTGAGGGGGAAAGGAAAGGACTTGAGGCTGATAGGAATTGTGGGAGTTGAAGTCCAAAATACTTGGAGGGCCCAAGTTTGCCCAGGCCTGTCTAACCCATAGAATTCAGTCCTAGAAGGCTATAATGTCAACAAAATGTGTAGGATCTTGCTATCCCCACGGGAATTTTCGCTGTATGTTTCAGAATTATAAAGAGGGGAGGAAAAGGGCAGAGGGAAAAACAGGAAATCCAAGGGGGGCAAGAGAGCAGCCTCCTCTCTCTTGACAAGGCAGTATCTGTACACCCTCCATTCCCCAGAGGTTCTGCCAAACCTGGCCTCCTTTGCATGAAAGCTTCGAAGTGAAGTCTGTCTGCAGCTTCCTGAGAAGGAAGGTGGAGGAGACTGAGTTTCAGAACGGAAAGAACCCTTCAAGCTCTCATTTAATACTGTCCACAAGTTAATAGAGGGAAATTGGGTCTCAAATGGAATAGATGCACCCTTGGAATGCAATACTATAGGCACACACCTGGGAGCTAGAAGGATTGAATTCTGTGAATATTGGGTTTGAAATTTGGACTGTTTGTCTGCGAGTTTTACATCAAGATCAGGCAAGGACCTTCCCTGGTGGCCTATACTGAAACAGAAAGGAGTTTAATAGATAAATAAATACTAAGAACAAAATTCCTACCGATTTCAGTTGTGCTTGCTTCCAAGTGAGGAGAGTTCAGGCTGTGTTATTCTCACCACCGCTGGAAACCAAACCGAAAGTGCTCACTCTTCCCAAATCAGTTATTTGTGGGGGTGTAGCTCTACTGAGGAGTTAATGCAGCTTGACCCCACTTTAACAGCCATGGCTCAACATTATGAGATCCTGGGAGTTGTAGTTTGGTGAGGAACCAAGGCTATTTGGAAGAGATAAACAAAGACATTGTAAAACTACCACTCCAATGATACCGCAAGCGAGTTTCCTAGACTTTACTTTCTGAGTAAATGCACATAGAATTACCACTTTCCTTCCTAAGAACTATATATCCAAAGCTGCATCTACACTGTAGAATTAATGCACTTTCACACTGCTTTAAGTGGCATGGCTCAATGTAAGGGAAACCTGTGATAAGTCTGCCAAAGAGCACCAATACTCTGTGACAGAGAAGGCGAAAGACTTGCAAAACTATAGATTCCACGATTACTGAGCATGGAGACATTGCAGTTGAAGTGGGATCAAACTGCATCAATTCTACAGTGTAGATGCACCTTTATGTACACTTACTCAGACGCCAGAAATCTTTGGCAGAGAAGGTTATGGAGCTTGTAAAACTACAACTCCCGGGATTCCATAGCTATGAGCCATGACACCTAAAATGCTGCCAATCTGTGTTCATTCTGCTGTGTAGATGTACCCTAAGAGGTCGAGGCGAGCAGCATAATGATGTAAAGGACAGGAGGAGACTCCTAAGGGACTCCCTACATGCAAAGGGAGAGGGGAGAGTTGGACCCTGACTTATTTGGATGGCTTCTTGCAATCCCTTTTGTTCTGCAGGGATCTTTCACAGCTAGCAGTTATTCCACGTTCTATGGAATCTTGGTATTTAGTTTAGGCAGGAGTGTTTAGAATCATCAACTAGAAAGCTTCATTTTTTGGGCCTCAGCTCCCTGATCATTGGCCAGGGCACCTGAGCATTCTGGGAGTTGAAGCCCAACATGCTAAAGAATCATTGTTAGAGCCTCACCAAACTACAAATCTCAAGATTCCATAGAATACAGCCACGATAAATAAAGTGGGGTCATAGTGCTTATAATTGTGCAGTGTGGAAGGGTTCCTAAACTGATAAAATATTTTAGGACTAAATTATTTTAGGACAACCTCCAAATGTTTTCAGGCAAGGGTGGGGAATCACCGTGGAGGATGCTCACTGGGACTGATGGGTACTGTCATCCAAACCTCTGCTTAACCCTGGATGAGATGGCTCTTCAAAGTCCTTATGCTCTCCTGTAGCCCAGCCATGGTAGACAGAGCAGTTTATTTCTACTGTGACTATTCTGAAGTTCTGGAATTAGTTGTCTGGGAGGTTCTTGGAATGCTCTGATAGACAGTTTTAGGCACTAGAGCAGTGGGTCTCAACCAATGGGTCCCCAAGGTGTTTTGGCCTCCCAGAAATCCAAGCCAGTTTATCAGCTTTTAGGATTTCTGGGAGTTGAAGACCAAAATATCTGGGGACCTACAGGTCTATCTCATCAGATATAGAATTCTATAGAATGCAGTAATAGCAACATGTTATAGAACTGATATAATTGTGTAATGTAGAAAGTTCTGAGTACTCTTCCTCTTTCAGTTAAAAGCCCTTGTGTATTCCTCACCCACTCCCAGATGATGACTAGACTACTTGGTTTCCACTACAACCCTAAATACTTCAAGGTGGGAAAGAGCTGGACTCCCCCCCCCCTCTTCCTTCCATGAAGTTTAGAGTGTCCATAGATGGACAAAATAATATGTTGGAGGACTTTCACCATCCTGAAGAACTTTCTTCATCAACAATTTCTATGATAATTTAGAAATGTTGTTGTTTGGACCACTCTTATCAGCATAGTGATAATGAGGGGGGTTTCATCCCTGGACTGCACAAGTCCAGTCCTCAATGATTAGTTAAGACTTAGATATAGGATTAGAGTGAGGCATTCCTTTCCCCAGATTCTTATTCATGCTTATCTCAGAAGGGGCTTTGCTGATTCCCAAGCTCTGTATGCCAAGCTCAGTTTCCAAGCTCTGTATGCCAATGCTTGTGGGTATTGTGTGCCTTCAAGCTATTTCTAATTTATGGAGACCTGATCACAGGTTTTCTTGTCAAGCTTTGTTCAGAAGGCCTTTCTTTAAAACTGAAAACGTGTGACTTGCTCAAAGTCAAGGTTTCAGTGGCTAAACAGGGACTTGTAGCCAGTTCTGGAAGTTCTGGAATTAGTCGTCTAGGAAGGTTCTTTGAATACTCTGATAGAGAGCTTTAGGCACAAGAGCACTGATTCTCAACTTGTGGGTCCCCAGTTGTTTTGGCCTCCCAGAAATCCCAGTCAGAGACTTTAATCTGGTCTCCAGAGTCATAGCCCAACACTCAAACCACTGCTCTCGTTTGCAAGTGTCCATGATGCTTCACGTAGCCAGGAAATAAATCCACTCTCTTCCTCCAAGGAACTAAAACAGGGATCGACGGGGAGGCCCAGAAGTGAATTTTCTGGCCGTTGGACTTTTTTGGAGGTGCACTAAATGACAAAAAAGCCTGGAATTGTGGGTGTCCAGGAAAGCAGGGATCAATGGATTCAAATCGCAGGAAAAGAGATTCCTCCCAAATATTAGAGAGAGAAATCCGGATGGTGAAAGCTATTTGACAGTGGAACATGCTGCCTGTAGGGTGATGGAATCTTCTTCTCTGGAGGTTTACAGCAGAGACTGGATGGCCATCTGTCGGGAGTGCTTTGATTGTGTATTCTTTCATGATGGAAGGGAGTTGTGTCTGTAATGCTTGCTTGGGGGAGTATGGAGGCTATTCTCCTCCCTCCCCAAATATTAAACTCTTGCTATTGGACCTAAATGTCCGGGGATGGAGAGGAGGAGATCTTTGCTAAGATGCTGGCCCAGCCAAAGGTGGATGTGGGGGTGTGGGTGCCCCTCCTCCACCACTGACAGGGCTGCCTTTCTTCCTCCCTCCCTCCCTCCCTCCCTCCTTTACAGCAGAGCCTATCTCGGCCCGGCAACCGGCTCTCCGGCCGCACGTCCACAAGCAGCCGGAGAAGACCACCCGGGTCCGGACCGTCCTCAACGAGAAGCAGCTCCACACCTTGCGGACCTGCTACGCCGCCAACCCGAGGCCCGACGCCCTCATGAAGGAGCAACTGGTGGAAATGACTGGCCTCAGTCCCAGGGTCATCCGGGTCTGGTTTCAAAACAAGCGCTGCAAGGACAAGAAGCGGAGCATCATGATGAAGCAGCTCCAGCAGCAGCAACCCAACGACAAGACGGTGAGTCAGGCGGCGCCGCCGCCGCCTCCCGGCCTCCAGGGGGCGCCCCTGCCTGAAGCCGCGCTCAAACCGGAGAGGGGCGCTTCTGGTTCCCTGGGTGTTTGTGTGTGGATGCATCTACATTGTAGAAATAATGCAGTTTGCCATCACTTCAACCGCTATGATTCAATTCTACGGGATCTTGGGAGTTGCAGTTTGGTGAGACGCTGGTGCTCTTTGGCAGCGAAAGAAAAAGGCCTTGTCAAACTACAACTTCCATAATCCCATAGCCTTGAGCCCTGGCACCCAAAGTAATGCCAAGCTGCATTAATAGTACAATATAGATGCACCCTATGTTTGTGTTTGAAAGTGCTCTTGGGGGCTTTGAAAATGCTTTTTGTTGTGGCCGGGGGCACTTCTGCATTGCCATATAATCCAGACCATCAAAGCAGATAATCCACATTTTCTGCTTTGAACTATGAATCTTCACTGCCATATAATTTAGTTAAAATCAGATAATCTGGATTTTATATGGTGGTGTACAAGGGGTCTGAGGCAAGATCTATGATGTCCTGTTTCCCAGGATCTGATCTCTAGTTATCTGTTTACCCTAGATTTACTGGAAGTGATGACACATATAATCCAGGGATCAGATCCTGGGATACAGGGCAGTGCAGAAAGGACCCTAGGCCTCTTCCACACTGCCATATAAAATATAGATTATCTGATTTGAACTGATTATATGCCAGTCTAGGCTCATTTAATCCAGTTCAAAGGAGAGAATGTGGTTTATCTGATTTGATAATCTGCATTATATAGCAGTGTATAAGGGGCCTTAGGCCCCGTCCACACTGCCCCTGTATCCCAGAATCTGTCTATATCCAGTCTATATCCCAGAATCTGATCCCAGTCTATCTTTTTATTCCACATTATCTGCTTTGAACTGGGTTATCTATGTCCACACTGCCATGTAATTCAGATAATCCACATTATCTGCTTTGAACTGTCTTATCTGAGTCTACACTGCCATTGAGTGTAGTTAAAAGCAGACATTTTGCATTTTATATGATCGGACAGTGACCCTTTCCAATGTAGTGCAGTGATGTAAGTCTCTTTCCAAAACACACTGGGTGAATGTGGTAAAAAGGAGTAAGGGATTCTAGTATTCTATTCTTTGTTTAGGAGACCATAGTGGACTGTCTTGGTGGTTTCTGCATGAGTTCTTCCTGATGTTTGGCGGAACAAGTGGTTAGTTTGAAAAATAATTTTCAATTTTAAACACTTTAAGGCTGTCATTCTACTTGCATGTAGTTGGAAGTACAACAAATACCACGGGCCTATGTGTCATAGTGGGTTGAGTGTTTAGTTTCTGCCAAGAAAATCCTATGGTAGGCTTGCCTTAGAGCTCCCTAAGTCAGAAGCCACACAATAACAACATGGAAGAGGCTGCATTTCAGAGGAAGGAATTTCTGAGTATTCTTTGCCTTAGAAATCCTTATGAAAAATGAATGGAGATTCTATAAATTGACAGTTAACTTGGAGGCACTCACACGCAAACTCTCCATTGCAATTAGTGGGACAACAGAGTATCTGTAAACCCCTCTAAATGCAAAGCTTGCTACAGAGGCCTACAGAGTAGAGCAGTGGTAGGGTGTGTCACTTGGTAGAATTAACCTAGTTCGACACCAAGTGCCATGACTCAATACTATGGAATCATGGAAGCTGTAGATTTACATGGTCCTCAGTTTCCTCTGTTACCCCACCAAACTACAACTCCCAGGATTCCATAGCATTGAGTCATAGCAATTAAGGTGGTATGTAGATGCAGCCTTAGATGGGTCATGCTGAAGTCTCACTTTTGCATTATTCAGTGAAACCAAACCTATAGAAACACTATGACTTTTCTATAGTTTTGGTGGAGGGAGTCCATCCCACTGAACTCAGTAGACCTTCTTCTTGCTGTGATGCCTGCTTTCAACTGAATAGGGACCCAAATCTTCAGCCTGAAGGGCACTTATTAGGGAATGAAATCTCATTGACCAAAGCAAGGCTCAATTTAGGAAGAAGCAGACAAAAGCAGGACATCTCAAAGCCCAAGATTTCCCCAGTAGCTTATACAAGAGAGGCAATCTTCACAAATAAGGATAGGAAGGAACTGTGTCTGGGTAAGGCTGGTTTGCAAAGCAACTTCCCTTGCAGTGAGCCCATTCATCACGTTTCCCTCTGTATACAAAAGAAGACAAATGTTCCCCAGCTTCTTGTCTAAACCTGGAGAAAGGGATGGCTATTAATTTTGCTTTAAAAAGTCTGCCTACCTAGGTTAAGTGGAATTTAAAGACTTGAGTTTTTACCAGGGTGGAATGTAATAAATCCCAATTCAAAGGACTTTTCTGGGTTGCTCAGAATTAGGTTGTTATTCTGGACACAGAGCAATTCAATTGCCTGTAGAATTGCCTCTAGAGCCAGTGTAGTGCTTTGAGCTCTGAGCATGATCAGGAGAACTGGGATTGAATCTCTGCTTGATCATGCAAATCCACCAGGTGACCTTTGTCAAGTCATTCAGCCTTAGGGGAAGAATTCTCCTCTGAACAAAGCTTACCAAGAAAAAATACAATGATAGACTCGCCCTAACTGCCTTCATGTTGACTTCAACTTAAGACAGGCATCTTCAAATTGCAGCCCTCCAGCTGCTTGGACCTCCAACTCCCACAATTCCTGACCATTGACAAGCTGGCTAGGGCTTCTGGGAGTCAGAGGCCAAAACAGCTGTAGGTCCACAGTGTGAGAATGCCTGACTTATGACAACTCTATGAATGAGAGATCGTGGAAATTCAGGATCTCACTGATAGAGGCCCCTTCCAACAGTTGACCTATTTATTTATTTATTTATTTACAACATGATACATCTATTCTACCTTTCTCAAGCCCAAAGGTGGCTTACAAATTGGCAGCAATTTGATGCCATAACAATCCATAATATATAGTTAAAACATTTAAAGTAACATTATAAAATCAATATAAAATCAATATAATACAAAATGGATGCAACCTCTCAGCAAAAGCAGCAGTTCTATATAAGCAGGTGTGCCTGTAGCTTAGCAGCAGTCAGTCTGAGGTAAACCTCAGTGGGAGAAAGGTCTCAGTCTGTGAGAAGACCACACAGTGTGAGGTAAGCTTTAGTCTGTGAGAGAAGGCCTCACAATGTGAGGTAGGCCTTAGTCTATGACAAGGCCTCGTGTGAGAAGGCCTCGTGTGAGAAGCTTCTGTGAGAGAAACTTCTGATTGAAGGCCTCCTGTGTAAAGTTGTGTGTAAAGCTACTGTGTGATGCTCCTGTGTAAGTTTGGTGTGAGAGAAAGCTCTGTGAGAACTAAGCTGTTTATCTGCATGTGGAAGAAGCCCAGCATGGGAGCAAAGAAGGAAGTATAAAGAACTTTATTTGTTTCATGGAAACCTTGTTCGTGTAAATAATGTAACCATACTATTTTATTACAAGGAAAAGCCTCCTATGGAAGAGATAACATTGAACAAAATCCCACATATTCTGCTGGAATTTTCTGCCTTGATATTCTGGATTATATGGCTGTGTGGAAGGGCCCTGAGTCCATCCATCTGGAATGCTGTCTTCCTCTTTTCCTACTGCTCTCCACCTTAACAAGCACTGCCATCTTTTCTAATGAGTTATGTCTTCTCATGATATGGCCAAAGTAAGATAACCTTAGCTGAGTCATCTTGGCTTCTTCTAGAGAGAATTAGGGTCCACTGATTTGTTATTTTAGCAGTCAACTGGATCCACAGAACTCTTCTCGAGGACCACATCTCACTATCCAGCTTTCATGATCATACATGGAAACAGAAAATACCCTGGCATGGACCATTCTAATTTTAGTAATCAGTGGTGTCTTTTCTCACTCCAGGATCTTGTTTAGTTTCTTCATAATTGCCCCTCCAAGCCATACCCTTTTTCTGATTTCTTGATTGAAGACTCACAACAAACAACAGTCAGGAAAAATGAAGTCCTAATGAAACTTCATCAGATCCTCCTAAATCATGTGGCTTTTCATTGGCCTTGATCAATGCAGTACAACTTATTTCTCAAGATCTCACAGAAACAGTGTTAGGAGACTCTGCTAAACTGGGTGGTGAATTCCATTAGTGTCACAATTTAGCAATTTTTAGGCCCCTTCCACAAAGCTGAATATAATCCCACATTTTCTGCTTTAAACTGGGATATATGGCAATATGGACTCAGCCCAGTTCAAAGCAGATATTGTGAGATTTTTTTCCTGCCTTCATATTCTAGGTTATATGACTGTGTGGAAAGGCCCTTAAATTCCAGGTGTCATTGTCTTAAGTCTCTCCTGCCTTGCTCCCTACCTCCCTTCAAATTAGGTCGCAATGGGGTTACTTCTCTTCTTTCAAAAAGCTATATCAACATATCCCTATATCCCAGGATATCAAGGCAGAAAATCCCACATTATCTGAGTGTGGACTAAGATAACCCAGTTCAAAGCAGATATTGTGGGATTTTCTGCCTTGATATTCTGGGATATAGAGCAGTGTAGAAGGGCCTCAGACAGGTCCTGATCCCAGGGTTTCTGTTTATCCCAGTTTATCTGGCAGTGCAGACTCATAATCCAGTTTAAAGCAGAAAACTTGGTATCAAATCCTGGGATATAGGGTCTGTCTGAAAGGGCTCCAAACTTGCTTGGTTTGGGACGGGCTTTTTCCTCTTCTGCTGTGTGGAATCATAGACTTCCTGTCTGTTTTGAAGGCACCACTCTTCATAACCTTCTTCACTTGCTTACTACTGCCATTATCTTCTCTAGACCTGGAAAGTGGCTTGAAAGGAACCTTCTTGGAATGACCTTTACTGTTCCCTTAAGTGGGTCTAGGCTAAGTTGCGTGGTGGCGATCTACACGAGTTTTCTTAGAAGGAAGTCTTTCTGGCTCTTTCACTGGGATGGGAAGGATTCAAAAAGAGAATTCTCTAGAAGACCTTGAGTAGATTTTATGCCTTGGGTAGGGCTTCGATTGGGGTGGGGTGGGGGGGGGGGGGGGGGGGGGGGGGGGGGGGGGGTGATACAGGAACGACGACACTTGTGTCTTTTCTGCAGTAGGTCTTGAAAAAAAAGTCTACTCACTGACATCGTAGGGAAGGAAAGGCTGCATAAATAGGTTTTACTTTACTTTTAAGGAATCCACTTACAGTCTGATACTGTCTATGGTTACTAGGTGAAGTTGCGTGTCTACATATCTAAGGCTGGATCTACGCTGCTGTATAATGCAGTTTGGGCAGTGAAGACCTTCACTGCAATTCAAACTGCATTATATTAGTCTACACTCAGTACAATAATACATTTGAAACTGCTTTAAATGGCAGGGTAGATCCAGCCTAAGGTTGACCTAGGGAATTGAATCCATTCCACTGACCTCAGTGGCCAATGGGTTAAACTCTTGTCCTGGAATCTGGGAAGCGGGGTGAGCTCCTGTCTGTCAGCTCCAGCTTCTCATGCGGGGATATGAGAGAAGCCTCCTACAGGATGGTAAAACATCCCGGCGTCCCCTGGGCAACGTCCTTGCAGAATTCTCTCACACCAGAAGCCAATTGACTTTGAATGAAGTGGCCGAAGGCTGCATCATCAGTATCCTTGTGATGATGATGATGATGATGATTATTATTATTCTTAATTTAGTGCCATCAATATACAAGCCACTTTAAAGAACAATACACCAAGGCACACACGGACCAGCCGAAGATGTACAATCAAAACAACAAAAATAAATCTGCCTTTATTTCCAAGTCAAAATATCCCTCCCTCGTGTATAGGAGTTTCCCCAGGAATAAAGGCTGCAGTCTTTTCACCTTCGTGTCAAAATATGTGTGTAGAGCTTCAACTAGCTTGTAGTCTTATAACGACCTGATGAATTTCATAGGGTTTTCTTCGACAAGGAATGCTTACAGGTGTTTTCTCCAGTTTCTTTCACTGAAATCTAGCCGACAGAGGCATTTGTTGGTGGTCTCCCATCCAAGCACTGACTAGGATGGACCCTAGTTATTTTTCAAGATCAGTTGGATCTTTAGAGTATACCTGTAGAGTATTTAAGCCCTACTTTCCATCTTACCAAACATTACTGTCTTCGTGAGTCATGACTTTCATATTACCATATTACTACCATATTTCTAATTAAAAAGAGACTGTAATGCCTTTCAAGATGGTGTGTTCATTGGGTTGCTGCGAGTTTTCTGGGCTGCATGGCCATGTTCCAAATACTACAACATCTGCTTTGAACTGGGTTATCTGAGTCCACACTCAGATAATGTGGGATTTTCTGCCTTGATATTCTGGGATAAAGGGCTGTGTGGAAGGTTCCTAGGCAAGTGAGGTTTATATATCTGTGGAATAATGTCCAGGGTGGGAGAAAGAACTCTTGTCTGCTTGAGACAAGTGTGAATGTTGCCACCTTGATTCGCATCGAATGGCCTTGCAGCTTCAAAGCCTGGTTGTGTTCATTATTTGAAAGTGATACCGTTCCTCTGCCTCCTAAGTTTTTCCAAATATATGAATTCCTATGCTCTTTCGAGATACAAAAAGAAAAAAGCACTGCTCCTATAAAAATGTTTGTCCGTGTCAATTTATGGAGACCCCATGGATTCCATGGGGTTTTCTTAGTGTTGGAAGGAATGTGGAGAGAGGAATCCCTCACTTGAATCCTATCTAATCTAGCTGCTCATTGAGGACTGGAGACTTGTGCAGTCCAGGGATGAAACCCAACATTTAGGCGAAGAATACTCAATTGTGGTTTTGCAAGTTCTTCTGAAATATAGCTTATATCTTCTGGTGCTCTTTGGTAGTTTCCCATTCAAGGACTAATAATCAGCTTAGCTTCCAAGATCAGACGGGATCTGGTGCCTTTGGGGTATTTAGGTCCTTGGAAACGTATTTACTCCAAAGGGGATTTCTAAGGAAGTGTCCAGAGGATCAGAGCCTTAATCCCACACGGTGTTTGCTTCCTGTGTGTGCTAGAGAGGGAGAAACAGAGAGAGCAATAGCAGGCGCAAGCAACTTATCTATACAATGGAGAGGGAGTACTATATTCTTATTTATATAACCATTAATGGGGTGTGCATGTTAAATGTGAACGAGGTCCTCTTCTCCCTCCCTCCACGGAGTCCCTACTGAGATCTACCCGGATGGCCACCGAGGTCAGTGAAATGGATTCACTTTCCTAGATACCCGGATGGCCATCTGTTGGGGGTGCTTTGAATGCAGTTTTCCTGCTTCTTGGCAGGGGGTTGGACTGGATGGCCCATGAGGTCTCTTCCAACTTTATGATTCTATGATTTACTGGCAACCACGTCAACATCACAACTACAACATAAATCCAAGCACATTTACAAGAACCTCGAGCAAAATGGGGTTTGAAGACTGCGCTCTCACTCTATGGAAAACAGGGTAATTCTTAGCAGTAGAATTAATGCAGTTTGAGACCAATTTAAGTTTTGCTCAAGGCTCTGGAATCATGGAAGTTGCAGTTTGGTTAGGCACCAGCCCTCTTTGGAAGAGAAACTATAACTCCCACGATGTCATAGCTTTAAGCCCTGACAGTTCAAGTGGTGCCAAGCTGCAATAATTCTGGGGTGTAGATGTACGCAGAGCTCCAAAGTTCCAGAAAAGAGTCAATTCTCCTACTAAAAGGAAATAAAGTATAATAGAGGAGGTTTTTTATCCCTTCCAAAAGCCTCCCCAGTCTGGAGCGATAGGCTTTGTATGTGTTTGCTTCTGGCTTGGTGTTTTTGAAATCACCCCCGACATTCCGCGAGAGGCAGATTAGCAAAGTCAATAGAAGTCGAGCCCTTGATAAGCCGCCCAAAGCGTTTATTGACTCTCCTTCCCGGGGCGGCGCAGGAGACAATCGCGGGGTATTTTGCCTCCCTTCCTTCCTTTAACTCCGCTGTTCTTCTTCTTGCCACCCCCCCCCCCCCCCCCCCCCCCCCCGCCTTCTGCAGAACATCCAGGGCCTGACGGGCACTCCGATGGTGGCCTCCAGTCCGGAGCGGCACGACGGGGGCTTACAGGCGAACCCGGTGGAGGTGCAGAGCTACCAGCCGCCTTGGAAAGTCCTCAGCGACTTCGCCTTGCAGAGTGACATCGACCAACCCGCCTTTCAGCAACTCGTAAGTGTGGGCTCCCGGGTGACCCCAAGGAATGAATCAGAAAGGTCTGGCACTCTTTTGCAGAGCGACCTTCAAAGCTTACTCCAAAGCATCTTGTCCCACCTTGCAGTCAGATCTTCTGCAAGTTCTCATCTCACACGCTGCCCTGTTTTGAGTCCCCTTGGGGAGAGAGGGTGGAATATAAATAGTTTTATTATTACTAGTTATTATTTTTGCATTGCTGTCTTTTGGGTTTCATGTGTGTCTTCTTCTAAGTCAGTGGGTCCCAATCTTTAGCCCTTTAGAGCAGGCATGGGCAACCTTGGGCCCTCCAGGTGTTTTGGACTTCAACTCCCACAATTCCTAGGAGTTGTGGGAGTTGAAGTCCAAAACACCTGGAGGGCCCAAGGTTGCCCATGCCTGCTCTAGGCACTTTGAACTTTGGAGTTGTCAGGATTCCTTGACCATGTTGGTTTGGACTTCTTGGAGATGAAGTCCAAAACACCTGGAGGATCCAAATGGGAGAGCCACTGATTTATGGAGAGGATGTGAAACATGGAGCCTGGAACTGTAACTTTGTGGGAAAGGGAATCTTCAGTTATGCCCCCATCCTCCACCATGCTAACTAGAACATTTGGGGAGGAGGTGTCCTCAAAAGTACCTGTTCCACTTCTGGTGAAGGTCCCCAGAAGTATGCATAGGGCCCAAAGCTAATGTGCAGGGAGAGCAGCCATATGCAAACTGTGTCCAACTTCGACAATGCATGTGTCCAATTTGCTCAGTTGCAAAGCTGTGCACCAATTCCTCAGTAAGGTGCAGAGAAGTGGGTGAACAGAGGTAGGACATGCTCTAAAATTGGACTATGGTAAGAGAGAAGATTGGACTATAGTGCAAGGAAAAATTATGGTGCTGCATAAGGTTTATTTGCTTAATTTATCACAGTTTAGTTGATAGGTTAGATTAGTTGATTTAACACCTCCCCTCCCTGCTTCCATGTCCATAACTAAAATATAGCATTCAGGGAAAAGGTATTCCTTCCCACCATCACAACCTTAATTTGAATAGTAGCGCTCAGGGAAATTGCAGCGGGAAATTTGTCAGTGGGATTAAGACAGAGTCAGGCTCTAAATCAGTGGTTCTCAACCTGTGAGTCCTCAAGTGTTTTGGCCTACAACTCCCAGAAATCCCAGCCAGTTTACCAACTGTTATGATTTCTGGGAGTTGAAGGTGAGAACATCTGGGGACCCAGAGGTTGAGAACTGCTCTAAATGATCTTACATTAAGAAGCCTTAGAACATATTACCAAAATGTATAGGATTATGGAATAATTCTTCTATTGTTATTATTGAAATTAAGGATTAAAACAAACAAATAAAATGCTCTTCCTAATTTGACTAACCAAGCTATAGTTTATTTTGTTGATGTTGCTATGTGCCTTCAAATCCACTATGATTTATAGTCATCCTAGCATAGGGCCTTCCTGGCAAGAGTTATTCAGAGGCTTGCCATCAGTGTGAGACCATTCAGGTGGTTTCCAGGACTGCATGGGGATTTATTTATTTATTTACAGTATTTATATACTTCTTTTCTCATTCCTGGGGGGACTCAAAGCAGTTTCCAGTAAATTCACAGCAAAAATTCAATCTATATATATATATATACACACACACATACAATTGTAACATATAACTATAAATTAAATAAAGAAACAATAACATCTAGACATTTAAACATGGAAATAAACATTAATATAAAACATTAAAATCACAAATCTAGAAGCCAAAGTTCGAAGCCCTTCCAAGAATCAATTGCACATAATTCTGTTCATTTTTTTGCATTGCTTACTGCCCAGACCTGGAGTCTAAAAGTCAAACAACAAAAGGAACTTGCCTCTTTCACACCTTAACTAATTTGACTAAATTTGGCACTTGGTAGCATGCAGTACTGTAAAAGTGACATCCCTCAATCCTCCTGACCTGCATTAAAAAGCTGAGAGAGTACTGCTAAATCACACATAGGCAAACTTCAATCTTCTGGGTGTTTTGGACTTCAACTACCAGAATTCCTAACAGCCAGTAGGTGGGAGTTGAAGTCCAAAACACCTGGAGGGCCGAAGTTTGCCGGTGCCTGTACTAAATGGTGCATTCATTCATTTTTAAATGCCACTCCAAAATGAGTGTTTCTCTGTTTAAGATACTTCTATGCTCCCCTATTAACTGACAGTGTCTCTGGGTGGTTTGACAGATATCACTTTCAACTGATTAGTTAATTAAAATCTGTAGGGTAAATGGGATATTGAGGTTGTAGATCTCTATTGCTGAGCAAAACTTTAATATGAAATTAAAATTCTAATAAATCTAGCAGTAATGAAGAATTGAACCAAATTGAACTTCTGCAGCCCTAAAGCTATTTACTTCCATCAACTATTATAAAGACAAACTCCTGTTTTTCATCTTAAATTCACATTTCATACTCATATGGATTAGTTTTATGTCTTGTAACATTAACCTAAAGCACAGTGTATTAAAGTGCATGAGTCGGCAGAACGATATACCATTTTCTGGTTTTTTTAACCCTTTTAAGCATCTATTTAAAAATTCCATTGATCAATACATGCTTTTCTTATTTTGGTTTTTTTTAAAAAAATGTGGTTATGTATAGTTTACATGCAAGATGTTACTATTAGTAGGCTGGCTTGCAGCAAAAAGCCATAACAGGAATTTGCCAATCAATTCTGTTCTTAACTCACTTCCTTATGCCTACATCATTTGGCAGCTCATATGGGACCATATCATCTGCAATACTTAGGCCCAACCAGGTGATTTAAGGACAGAAGTTCAACCTTAACTCAATTTCCTGGCCTAAGTGTGTTAAAACCCGATCTTAAAAATAATAAGGTATGTTATGAATGGTTTTTCAGTGATTGAAATTCATAGTAGTAATAGATCATCTAATGACTGGGTGCACAAGTGCTACCAAAATCTTTGCTTTGGGTATCCCTCACATTAGAAAATGTAGTTGGATTGCTTCATGCAAAACAGTACCAAAAGCTACGCTATTCCATTAAGACCCATTATGTCACAACCAAAACATGGAAGAGTTACTTTTTTGGAGTATTGTCCAGTTCTTCCAACCTGTATGAGTAATGCTTTCAGGAATCTTCTTGGAGTTTTCATACTCCCCAAAAGAATTGTTTTCTAGCTCTAGTCATAATTAAAATCATATGCTACATATCTGATCATTTGATAGCTAGTTACTTTGAACAGAAATATTCAACATACTTACTCATCCCCAATCCTTTTGAACATAAGGAAATTTCCTTCTGAGTTATATATTGACAAATGTCCTGCTTAAAGCAGAAAATATAAAAGACATTTTCAGGATGGTAAAAGTATAATGACCACGGCAAAGCCCAATTTGGTTATTCATCTGCTATGCATAATGGACCACCTTGCCTATTATTATGATTAGTTTTCCCAATTCTTTCCAAGGGCTGGGTATATATTTCCTGAAGGAGAATTAGCATGCCCTTGGTCTTTTGATGCAGCTTTTAATGATATTTGAGATGGACAGACTTTGCAGCAGGTAATGAGTCTGGGGAGATACAATGAGAAGATTTTAGGACAGCATGACAAAGATAGGTAAAAGCCTAGGCTGAGAAGGAAATTACATATGGAATGAGTTATAATGGGCATCCGCTAGGAGAACTGAAGAGAAACCAGTATATGGTTAATGTTACCATAAAAATGGGGAACTCAACAAAGGATCTGAAACCTCAGTCTTTCTAATATGAAGCGATATCAAGAAACTATGTGTTTATTTTGCTCTAGAGAGAATTGCTTGGTGTATTAATATTATTGGGCCGGTAAACTAGAAAAAAATGGATTGTAGTTCAAATTCTTTTTAATGCTCAGAGATTTCCGAGATGCAATTCTTGGTCTGTGAGCAATATTGCAATGGATTGAATGATTTTTTTTTTTGGAGGAGTAATCATTTGGAGAATGGAAGTGCGTTCAGCACTTATTTACTGAAATCGATTATCTTCCTGGTTTACTGAGGGTAGAATTGTAACTTGGTCACTTTAAAAAAGGAAGTCAATTTGAAAATTATATTCATATACTACTTTCATTTCTAGTAAACAGATTTGTGTAGTGCTGCACCAGAGGAGACAATGGGCAGTGCGTATATATAAAAGAACATTACTCAAAGAGGTGTCCGCTTTGTACGGAGATTCCTCTGCTTGGAAATAATAGGCCCACTTTACGGGAATCCTGTCCTACTATGGAACATCCATACACTGGCAGAGAAGTTTGGGTTGGAGCATTATGTGAAAATGAATCCATTGTATGCAATGGGCATAGCCTTCAAGTAATGTGTTTTTCACTGGTAATACAACCCACTGCAGACCACTTGATAAAATTGTTGATCCTCCACCACATATCATTTAAAAATGTCAAGTGATTAGAAAGGGAAATAGGTCATGGAAAGCATCACACTGAGTTTACTGGTTGTGGTTTTGAGCCAATATACAGAAATTCACAACCTTCATTACTTTATGAATTTTCTTTTCTCCAGTAGGCCCCAATCCATTGCTCATTTGGATTTTTACCTAGGATGGCAATTCTAAAACATATATTATAATGACTGCAGGGGGATTACATACTAATTTTCATTCTGGAAATTATATTAAATTGCAATTTCTCATGGATAGGAATTTTTTTCCATTGGACGTGGTTGATCCTGACCCTGTTTACATATAAATAAATTCTTTATAGATTCTGAAGTTTTGCTCTTTGAACTGAATATGTTCACAAAAGGGAAACCATAGTTGTAAATGGGCCCTTGTCATTGATCTCAATGGCACCTACAGATTCTAATGGCATTTCATTTATACTTTGTCTTTAAGATAATCATATTGTCATCCAATGCCTTGAAATTATTTTCATTACCAACTAAAGTAGGCCCATTGAATTAATGGGATTTGCCAGTGTATTTAATTATAATATAATAATTGATTCAATGGGTCTACTGTAGTTGCACCTAATGGTAAAGTTTTAGTTCACCACTTGTTTGGCTCCAAATACCTGGATTAAATTAGAAATTAGCACAAATATGCTTTGGTTTTCTTTGAAAAATAGAATTTCTTTTATGAAAATAAGGGAAGCATGTAATAATACTTAGCATTTTACATGTGTTCACAGCACTCTCGGCATAATATTGATGAGAGACTTGGGCTAAGAAAGAATGGCTGGTGCCTAAGCCCACTGAATGAATATAAGGTAAAGGCCATACAAAGGCTGTCCCAAAAATGTATACCCTATTTAACAGCTAAAAGCAGCTAGATTATTGAACGGCCACGTAAATATATTTATATTGAAAAAATGTTTTAATAATTATTTAATTGGGAGTTCCAAATTTTGTTTTACAATCACATTTTTATGTAAGGTGTTCAAATTGTTATGCCTGTGCAGCAATGCACTCCTTGCATTGCTAAAACACAGTTTCCCACCTTGCTTAGAGTTTCTCTTGTAATTTTGTGATACTTCTCTATTATTGGAATCTTTAATCCTGTTAAAGGCATATGCATTTGTGCTGGGGATGTAAACAAAAATTCAGAATTGCAAGCTGTTAATTAGAATAATAGAATTGGAAGAGATCACAGGGGCCATCCAGTCCCAGCCCCTGCCATGCAGGAACATACACACTCAGCACTCCTGACAGGTGGCCATCCATTCTCTGTTTACAAACCTCTAGAGAAAGGCACTCCATCACCCTCCAAGGTAGCATATCCCACTGTCAAACAGCTCTTACCATCAGGACATTTTTCCTAAAGTTTAGATGGGATATATTTTCTTGCATGTCTTAGTTCTTGAAGCAGCAGAAAACAAGCTTGCCCTTTCCTCAATGTGACATCCTTTCAAATATTTAAACATGGCTAGGTAATCAAGTTATCTTCCCATCTCCTAGTCTCCAAACTAAACATTCCCAGCTCCATCAGCTACTTCTCACAGGGCTTAGGGAGTTTTACCATTTTGGGTTGCTTCGAGTTTTCCAGGATGAGCCCCTGGTGGTGCAGTGGGTTAAACCGCTGAGCTGTTGAGCTTGTTGACTGAAAGGACACAGATTCAAATCTGGGGAGCAGCGTGAGCTTCCGCTGTCAGCCCCAGCTTCTGCCAACCTAGCAGTGCAAATGTGAGTAGATCAATAGGTACTGCTCCGGCAGGAAGGTAACGGTGCTCCATGCAGTCATGCCGGCCACATGACCTTGGAGCTGTCTATGGACAATGCCGGCTCTTCGGCTTAGAAATGGAGATGAGCACCACACCCCATAGTCAAACATGACTGGACTTAATGTCAGGGGAAAACCTTTACCTTTACCTATGGCTATGTTCCAGAAGTATTATCTCCTGGCATTTCACCCACATCTATGACTGGCATCCTCAGACATTGTGAGGTCTGTTGGAAATTAAGCAAGTGAGATTTATGTATCTGTGGAATATCCAGGGTGGGAGAAAGAACTCTTGTCTGCTTGATGCAAGTGTGAATGTTTCAATTGCCCACCTTGATTAGCATTGGATGGCCAATTGCAACATTCACACTTGCTTCAAACAAACAAGAGTTCTTTTTCCTACCCTGGACATTCCACAGATATATAAACCCCACTTGCCTAGTTTCCAAAAGATCTCACAACCTGTGAGGATGCCTGTCATAGATGTGGGTGAAACATCAGGAGAGAATGTTTCTGGAACATGGCCATATAGCCCAAAAAACTCACAGCAATCCAGTGATTCTGGCCGTGAAAGCCTTCAACAACACTTTTTACTATTTTGTTTGCCCTTGTCTGAACATATATTAAATTTTTAAATAGACATTCTCTTTCCCTCTCCCCCCATGTATTACACACACACACACTCATGCATACTCAGAAATAAACCTTATTAATTTCAGTGGGCCTTCACCCCTAGTACGTTGGTATAAGACAACTTCTTCTGGCCCTTTAGATATTCTGGAGTCCTCCAAACTCTTATTGTCAAAGAGGCATTTTTTGACAATAAGAGTTTTGTCACTTACACTTCATGTCTCTTTACAGTACATGCATGTTTACTCAGAAGAAAATGCAATTGTGTTGAATGGGTCTTGATCTCTTAGATTTATCCTTGTAGTCGCTATCCATCACAGCCCTCCTTTGCATAACCAAGCATATATCATAATACGATATCACTACAATTTGCAAGATGTATGCATGCTAGGAATATATAACTTGCTGCAGCAAAATTGTAGCAGACAGTATGCTCCCCAGTCCCCACCACAATTTACAAGATGCATTCATTGAGTTGGGATTCTATCATTTCTTTAAGGGGTTCCTGTGATAAATTTAGATTGACATACTTTGACTAGAGTGATTTTTAAAATGCTACTCTTGTCAGGTATATTAACAGCTGCTCTAAATGATACAGTCCAGATTAACAAATGTTCCTGGGAAAGCCCTCTTGCATTAGCAATCCTTGTTATGCCTATTTAGAATTAAATCTTAAGCAATATATTCAATGTATCTTACCTCATAGCACATTTGTATTAGACAAAGGTGAGAAGCCATTGTTCCTCCAGATGTTTTGCATCATGGCTCCCACAATCTCTTACCATTGGCCTTGCTGGGTGGACCTAATAAGAGTTGTAAGCCAAAATATACAGAGGGCAAAAAGTTCTTCACCAATGGCATTGGGCTACCCTTCTACCAGATAGATCACTGCCATTAAAATGAGTCTGTCTTAGAAGGTGCTTTCAGTGGTTTTGATGTTGTAGGAGAATGGATTTGGGCTTGATCTCTTTCTGAGATGAGTTATCTTCAAGGCAATTGGGCTTATTTCAGAGCAGTAAATTAAACTCCTCCTAAGCTCTCTTGTTTCCAAACCAGTTTTTCCTATCTGTGCCAGTGTCTTCCGTCAGGAATCTATTAAAAGTGGTTGACGTATGGATGTGAAACGTCCTTACACTGAATCACACTTGGCCGGTCAACGTATGACTATATCCTTTAATGGACCTGGCACTGGTTCTCCAAGATGGGGAATCTTGTGGCTCTCTAGATGTTGTTGGATTACAACTCCCGTCATATCTCACCTTTGACTAGACAGGCTTAGGCTGAAAGGAGCTGGAGTCAGATAACATCTGGAAGGCCACATGTTTTCCAGACCATGGGCCTTATGAATTCTTCTAGTGGAGTTCAACAATGGAAAGCCAACTATATCAGTGTCCAACAAAATCCTGTTGATTTATGCTGAATTCGTGATTTTCATGATTTTTCTTAGACAAGGAATACTTGTCTATACATAGGAATAATTAATCTGATATGGATACTTCTGAGATCTTGTTCTCTTGTCTGCTTAACTGGGATCTTGAATTCTTATATTTTGTGGCTATCCCCACAGAGATATCAATATACCACACAGCAGAATCCTATGCATGGTGTAAATCTTACTAAATTTCCTCTTCCCAGTCAAGTGCCCACAATTGCAGCCATGATGGAATGTGTCTTTGTTTAAAAACAAACAAACAACACCACAATTTCCCTCCACAGATAGATAATTTTATTCTTACCTTGATTATGGTTAATGCCTTCAAAATAATAATACAAACCTACTGTGAAATAAGCAGCTACTTTATTCTGGTCTATGCTATGGAAAATATTCCTAATAGAAATGAATGCCCTCTTAAGATGAAAATGTTAAATTGACCAAGTATTTCCAGTATTCCAATATCCAGGTACAATTTCTGTTCCTCAGTTCAGTGGTTCTAAAATCAGCTTTTGCCATCTAGTTCAATGACACAAAAACTGGTCCTTCCAGTCAACTTAGGAGTAAGGATCACCAAACTCAACAGGCCTTACCTCTGAGCAGATTTGTTTTTAGGTCACTTTAAACCTGTGATATTCAGATTGTTCAGTGGTTTGGCTGTTCAAAGCAGCATAATCTATACCAAGCATGGGCACACTTCAGTTTTCCAGGACTTCAACTGCCGCAATTCCTAACAGACTACTGGCTGTTGGGAATTGTGGGAGTGAAGTCCAAAACATCTGGAAGGCCAAAGTTTTCCCATGCTTGAGCTATACTGTATGAATTTGCCTTCAAGCTTCTGGTGACTTACAGCGAACCCATGATTTTCATAGGATTCTCTTAGGCAAGGAATACTCAAGGGCTGAAATACAGCAGTCTTATTTGAAAAATAATATAGTGTTTAGGTGTAGCTTGATCAGGTTGGGTAGCACAGTGACTGTGAAGCTAATAAGCTATGCGCCAAGCCCATCCTCACCCACCCCCTTTCACATTTCACTTCAGATTTAAGCTCATAGGTTCTGCAGTTCCATAGGTGTGTACAGTACACACAAGCACATGTAAATTTTAATGAGTTTAGTGAAGCATATTATAAGGTAAGTGTGTATAGGATTGTAGTGTAAATGAACCTTACATGGTATTATCTGCTTGACATTTCAGCATGGAATATTGACCTATCTTACAGAACCATGCTGTTGATAAGCATAATAAATGGATATGGAATTTTTAGTACTTATACAAAAGGCACATTAAAAATTTACCACAATTTCTTGACTCTTGTCATACGGGATCTCACTTTAAAATTCCACCCATTTTTATTTTGTAGCCAATTGATTGTCTTTGTGACACTTCCAGAATTGTTTATATTTTACTTGCAGTGTTTACAAATGTGTTTTCAGATCAAAGTATCATGCTATATTGTTGCATTCTCACCTTGTGGTTCCAAAAGTAAAGAGAAAAGAATGATGATGATGATGATGATGTTATTGTTACATAAGTAGTCAAACAGGTTACTTTTTCTAGTATACAGCCTGAGTATCATTGAGTCCCCTTCAGGGTTGAGAAGGGCAGTTATACATATAGAAAAGAAATGAATAAATTGGGAATTCCAAAATTTTATAATAATCAAAAATATCCACATGTATGGCTGATAGTGTTATGCTTGTTTCATGCTCAAAATTATTGCAAACCCCATAGAAATTATTTTCAGGCTATATGTAGGAGCTGTATATGAAGTAGAACTTAATTTCATGTTTAGACTTGGGTCACATCTCCAACTGTTCTCCATATGTATATGCAAGTATTCCAAAATCTGTAAAACAAAACACCAAAATACAGAACACTTTTGATCAAAAGCATTTTGGATAAGAGATACTCTACCTGGAATAGCAGAAAAACAGAAAAGCAGAAAAAAGGTCTTAGAAAGCTGGAGAAATTATGACATTGACTTGGATTCAGGTATAATCATGCTGTTGAAATCAAAGGGACTTAAATTAACGGTGACTACTTAAGTTCAACCTAGGGTACAACTAAATTGTAGAATTAATGCAGTTTAACACTGCTTGAGCTGTCATGGTTCAATGTTATGAAATCCAGGAAGGTTTTGAGCCTTCTCTACCAAATAATATAGTTATCTCACCAAACTGTAAATCCCAGGATTTCATAACATGGAATCAGGACAGCTAAAGTGTTATCAAGCTGCAATGTTCCTACAGTGTAGATCAGGCATGGGCAAACTTTGGCCCTCCAGGTGTTTTGGACTTCAGTTCCCACCATTCCGGTAGGCTGTTAGGAATGGTGGGAGCTGAAGTCCAAAACACCTGAAAGCTGAAGTTTGCCCATGCATAGTGTAAATACACACTTAGTTGAACATACAGTTCTTTGTGGACTGTATGTTGGCATTGAATATTTGCCATTAGTATGTTGTAAGCTGCCTTGAGTCCCCCTAGGGGTGAGAAAGGCAGTATATAAATATAGTAAATAAATAAATGGCTCTATGTCAGGGGTCCTCAAACATTTTAAACAGAGGGCCGAGTCACAGTCCCTCAAACTGTTGGAGGGCCGGATTATAATTTGAAAAAAAATAATGAATGAATTCCAATGCACACTGCACATATCTTATTTGTAGTGCAAAAAACATTTAAAAACAATACAATAATTAAAATGAAGAACAATTTTAACAAATATAAACTCATTAGTATTTCAATGGGAAGTGTGAGCCTTCTTTTGGCTGATGAGATAGGATTGTTGTTATTGTGTACTTTTAAGTCGTTTCAGACTTAGGTTGACCCTGAGCGAGGGCCAGGTAAATGACCTTGGAGGGCCGTATCCAGCCCCCGGGCCTTAGTTTGAGGACCCCTGCTCTATGTGAAGGTAATAGTGTTCCATGCAGTCATGCTGGCCACATGACCTTGGAGGTGTTTATGGACAAAGCTGGCTCTTCGGCTTAGAAATGGAAATGAGTACCACCCCCCAGAGTTAGCCAGAACTAGAGTTAATGTCAGGAGAAGCCTTTGCCTTTGCCTGAAATTCCATTGATTTTAGTGAGTCTGCATTGAACATTTATAAACTGTATGGAAGGTTGTTGCTTTCTTTTTCTTTCTTGTAATTTATTTTTCTTTCTTTCTTCCTCTCTCTCTTTTTTTTTTTTTGAAAAAAAAATATTGGCAGGTTAATTTTTCCGAAGGAGGACCAGGTTCCAATTCTACCGGAAGTGAGGTAGCATCTATGTCCTCTCAACTCCCAGATACACCCAACAGCATGGTAGCCAGTCCCATTGAGGCATGAGGAACATTCCTTGCAAAATTGTGGTCCTTTGTGGAAACTTTTGGCCCCCTGCTGGAGAGAGTGGGAAAACTATCACCTTTGGGGCCTGGAGAGGGGGACAATTCAAAAGAAAGCAGGACAAAGAAGGAAGAAAAAGAAGAAAAAAAAGTATTTAACACAGCTGTGTTCATGAACCTAATGGAAAGAAACCTCCACGAACTGTCTGGGGATTCTTGTTTGTTCCTCTCCTTTTTTTTTTTTTTGGTTGTTTTGTTTTGCAATGATAAGGTAGCAACACTGTGAAGACAATCATGGGATCTTACTAGAATAATATTCCTAAAGAGCAAATGAAAAATGCTTTTTAATAATAATAATATTAATATTATTGATAATAATAATAATAATCCACCCACACTTAAAGGATCGTAGGAGGAAGAGGAAAACAAAAAAGAGACCTTGGGATCCTGAGATCTCCTGTTCCAAAAGGACATCTTTCAGTGACTGCACATCCTGGAGAGAGACAAGGACACAAAGGAGACAAAAAAAACACAAAAACGCCCAGTTGACCATCTTGACGCGAATGGTGCTCTTTCTATACTGGCCTTTCCCTTGCCAAATAAAAAGAAAAAAGAAAGAAAAAATATTAAATAAATTTAAACAAATATATAAATAAAATGTTAAAATAATTTAAGACATAAGAAGGAGCTCGGATAAGGTTGCATTTTCCAAGAAGGAGAAAGGACAATCTTGACTCACGACCAGAATGAGCCATTTCGAAGGTGTGGAGCTGCGTTCGGTTTGGAATCTCTCTCTCTCTCTCTTTCTTTCTCCTCTCTTTTTCTTTCTTCCTTCCTTCCTTCTTCCCTGTGGTTTCAGTTCTGTCTTTAGAGGGTTCTTGAAAGGCTTGGGGCCGCCAATAGCATGTACTGTAGCTATTTCTTCTTTCCCTTCTCCTGTTTTTAAGGAGTATTGGGAGGATTGTTTGGGTTGACTTGACTCCCTTGTTCTTTATGATTTCTTTTTCAAGGAGGTTGGGGATTTTTTCTTCTCTTTTTACAACATTTTGTTTCCTGGGTTAAGAAAACCAACGAAAAACATTCGCAACAAGGTATACCTCTCTTTAATCACCTCATCACACTAGAAAATGAATCCACTTTAAATCCGGTTGCTGCCTCCTGCAGAATTCTGGGATTTGTAGTTTTAGGAAGGATGGACTTAGAGGAAAGAGCTTTGCAGTGATATGCAAAGATACAGGCATGGAGAAAATTAATGAAAGGAAGAAGTCACTATATTTACTTTTTCTTTTTACCTATTTTCCTTTTTTCATACTTCTTCATTTTCCTATTTTCCTTTGATCATTTGTTCCCCTACTTTCATTGTACTCTTACGTTTAAGTATATAGTTGATAAAATATTATTTTTTTTAAAAAAGGAAGGAGCCTTTAACGGCCTCACTAAACTACAAATCCCAGAATTCTGCAGGAGGCAGAAACCGGATTTAAAGTGGATTCATTCTCTAGTGTGATGAGCTCACACACAAAGGGCGTTTTTCGGGGTTGTGTTTTCGACTGGCATTGGATCAGTAACATTCCCCTTTCCTCCCCCCTCCTCTCTCTTTCCCCCAAAGATGTGTATATTTCTTGTTTCTTTAATTTTCTTCTCTTTCTTTCTTTCTTCCTTTCTTTTTCTCTCTCTCTCCTTCGCTGAAAATAAAAGAGGAGGGGAGGGCATCCTTTTGTTTTTGTTGGCTCTCTGATTGCAAAAATTATAAAGTAATTTATTATTTATTATCCGAAGACTTGCCACTTTTTCATGTCCTGATTTGTGTCGTTGATGTTGTTGTTTGGTTGTTGTTGGACTCTTTGGGTTGATTTCCCCCTTTTACTAAATATATATATTTTTAAAAGAACGAGAGGTCCTATCCACGCCAAACATGTCTCCTACGCAAGCCTCCGTTGTAAATAAGTACAGAAATGAGATAGAAATACAAATAATAATAATAATATGGGGGAGGGCTGGGCGTTGCTGTGTAGGAGAATGTCTCCGTGGATTGAACCCAAAGAAAGAAGGAAGGTGGGAAAAGGTTTCCACCTTGGTCTGTGAACAACGATGTCGAAATCTATGTGGGACTTCTATTTTTTTTAATTTGTTGGTCTTTTTTGTTTTGTTTTGTTTTTTTTAAAGTTTCCTCTCCTTTAAGTATTATGTGAAATAAAAGCGCCGTATGTAGAATGATTATATCTTCAGGACTATTTCACGAAATAAACGTTTGGTATAGAGAAAACAAATAAAAAAGAATTAAGAATGACCCAAGCGCCCTCTTTTATATATATAATAATATCATACAGAAAGAAAAAAAATATTATATATTTCCTATACAGCCCCTGAGTATTTGTATATAATAATAATAACAGCAACAACAACAGCAGCAACAACGTCGGATTATTGTCAGTTTTCTGGGTTGTATGGCCAAGTTCCAGAAGCATTCTCTCCTGACGCTTCACCCACATCTATGGCAAGCATCCTCAGAGGTTGTGAGTCTGTTGGAACTAGGAGTTTCCCAGGCTTCTTCCACAGAGCTGAATAAAATCTCTCATTTTCTGTTTTGAACTGGATTATATGGCAGTGTGGACTCAGGATATCCAGAATATCGAGCCAGAAAATCCCACATTATCTGAGTGTTCAAAGCAGATTTTGTGGAATTTTCTGCCTTGATATTCTGGGTTGTGTGGAAGGGCCCCTAATTTCCTAGCTTCCTAGTTTACAACAGACCTCACAACTTCTGAGGATCCCTGCCACAGATGCAGGCGAAACGTCAGGAGAGAATGCTTCTAGAACTTCACCATACAACCCAGAAAACTGACAATAATTCGACGTTGCTGCTGTTGTTGCTGCTGTTATTATTATTATATACAAATACTCAGGGTACATTTACAAGTTAGATGCTGTTCAGACAATGTGTGGTCGAAGGCTTTCATGGCCGGAATCACTTGGTTGCTGTGAGTTTTTCGGGCGTATGGCCACGCTCCAGAAGCATTCTCTCCTTATTCTCGATCCTCAGAGGTTGTGAGGATGCCTGCCATAGATGTGGGCCAAACGTCAAGAGAGAATGCTTTTGGAAAATCACCATACAGCCCGGAAAACTCCCAGCCATCCTTAGATGCTGAATACTTAAAATAAAACATTACATTGTGGGGGTGTGATATTTTATTGCATGTTTTAAACAACCGGTTTATAAATTTCCACATCTGAATGTGTCAGCCATGATAACTTTTCCCTTTCCCCCTTTCCTTCTAAGTATTTTCAAATTTTATTTTCGGGCCAACCGAACAAGTTGGTTAGAAAGAAATATTTACTGTGGATGACATCTATTTGAAAGCGTTTCCAGTAGTTAGTATGGCGTTGCAGAGCTAGCTCCCAAACCACCTAAAGAGTTTGTGTGGTTTTTGGCCATTGCGTCCTTTCAAAATGCGATAGATGCTGTCGGTGGTCCAGCCCGGGTTTGCTGCCTTCCCAAATGGGCTCTTGTTGAAGGCGATGGATGAATTGATGCCTCTGGTTCACAATTTTCCCACCCAGAAGCCAACAACTGGACCCTGAAGTTTGGGCCACAGTTTGGCGACTGCAAAAGCGGTGTCGCGATGTTTTCCTTTGGGTCCTGCTGCTTCTTGGTGGCTGTGACCCCGAGGGGGCCTAAGGGCAGGGAGAGACCAGGAGTCACGCGGGAAACGTCCCCATTTCCCCGTTAGTTTTCCACTCACGCGTCCCAAGCCACAGAGCTTTGGGGAGGCTTTAGAGTTGTCACCGTGGCGCATTGTGTTCAGACCATGGCGCAGTGTGGAAGCCTTGGCTCGGTGTATTAAAGGTGTATATTTGGATCTCATCACACTAGAGAATGAATCCACGTTAAATCCGGTTGCTGCCTCCTGCAGAATTCTGGGTTTTGCAGTTTAGTGAGGAGCCTTGAACAGCCTCACTCAACTACAAACCCCAGAATTCTGCAGGAGGCAGCAACCGGATTTAAATTGGATTCATTCTCTAGTGTGATAATGGCCTAAGGCTCGGTTTGAAGAAGGAACGGGCCCAGGGGCATGTTAAAAGTTCTGTTTGTCCATCCTAAGGTTTATTTGTGTGCGTGAGTTTTTATCTCTGAAGGAAGGAGGAGAGCACAAAGATATGGGGCCCTTCTACACAGCCGAAGAAAATCCCACATTATCTGTTTTGAAGTGGAATAAATGGCGGTGTGGACTCAGGGCCCTTCCACACAGTCCTATATCTCGGAATATCAAGGCAGAAAATGCTACATGGACTCAGTGTGGACTCAGATCACTCAGTTCAAAGCAGATATTGTGGGATTTTCTGCCATGATATTCTGGGATGTAGGGCTGTGTGGAAGGGCCCTCAGATAACCCAGTTGAAAGCAGATATTGTGGGTTATTCTGCCGATATTCTGAGTTATATGATTGTGTGGAAGGGCTCTTAGGCCCCTTCTACACAGCTGAAGAAAATCCCACCTTGTTTGCTTTGAACTGTATTATATGGCAGTGTGGACTCAGATAGCCCAGTTCAAAGCAGATATTGTGGGTTATAATGCCCTGATATTCTGGGTTATATGGCTGTGTGGAAGCGCCCTTAGGCCCCCTACACATCTGACGAAAATCCCACATTATTTGCTTTGAACTGGATTATATGGCAGTGTGGACTCATAACCCAGTTCAAAGTAGATATAGTGCGTTATTATGCCCTGATATTCTGGGTTATAGGGCTGTGTGGAAGGGCATTTAGGCCCCCTACACAGCTGAAGAAAATCCCACATTATCTGCTTTGAAGTGGAATATATGGCAGTGTGGGCTCAGATAACCCAGTGCAAAGCAAATATTATGGGATTTTCTGCCTTGATATTCTGGGTTATATGACTGTGTGGAAGGCCCCTTAGACATGTGACGCTTGAGGCTGTGCAAATAATGTCCCGTCGTCGACCACTGTTCCCCGGGCACTGCGACGAGTAACGGGAGCAAATTACTTTTGAAAAGTCTTTTTTTCCCCTCCAGGCTGTGTTGTGTTTCCTCTCACCTCGAGACCCGCCCGAAGGACCCTCTCCCTTTCCAAACTGCCAGAGCCCATTTCTCCCTCCCTCCCTGCGAAATGCCAAAGTCTCTTTTCCTCCGAGCTGTTTACCTGATCTGTGTTTTTATTTGGGGAGGGGAAGAGAGGGGAGGACAATGGGAAGCCCAGGCCGGGCTCGGACTCGGCTAAGACGGTGAAGGATGGCTGTTATTCGTCACTGTCTCTTGTCCAGGGGCTTGGGAAAGGCTGCCGGCGAGATTCGGGCCGGAGGGGGACGTGGACCGACCCTGTTTGTTGTTTTTCTGGCGGCTTCCGTTTTCCTTGAGTTTCCTTGGGAAGGGCGGGGTGTGTGTGTCAAGGAGTGGTGCAAGCTGGAGAAAGGGGGGAGAGGAGGAGGAGGAGGAATCGCCTCCTCCTTAAAGACAAAGGCGCAGCAGTCCTGTTTAGCTGGGTTACTTGAAACCAGGGTGGTGTGTTTGCTTGGGTTTTGGGCTAGGATTCGCATCTCTGCTCCGCCTTGGCGGCCTGGGACAAGTCACACTGTCTCAGCTTCAGAGGAAGGCGAGGGCAAACCGCTAAAACAGAGCTCGTAAATCGGGATGGACTCGAAAGCAGAGGGCAACAAAAGCATTAGGAGCACCAAAATGCTGTAGAGGTGGCACAGTTTCTACAACTTTGTTTAAAAAGACCTAATAATACGAGGATTCAAAGATCGAACTGTAAAGACTCTGGCACAAGCCAGTAAAGGTGGTCTCAGTGGTGCTCGGCACACTGGGTGCAGTGCCTAAAGACCTTGGCCTGCACTTAAACACAATCGGCGCTGACAAAATTACCATCTGCCATCTGCAAAAGACCACAATACTGGTATCTGCACGCATTATGTGCCGATACATCACAGTCCTAGACACTTGGGAAGTGTCCGACTTGTGATTCAATACAACAGGCAGCAGAGTGACTTTGTTTGCTGTGTACTAATCTTGTTGTGTTTCATATAATGATGATGATGGGTAATGATGATGATTTAAAGGTAGTACTGCAAAGACTTTGGCACAAGCTAGTAAAGGTGGTCCCAGTGGTGATTGGCACACTGGGTGCAGTGCCTAAAGACCTTGGCCTGCACTTAAAAACAATCCACGCTGACAAAATTAGCTTCAAAAGGCCACCCTACTTGGATCTGTACACAGTATTTGCAGATACATCACACAGTCCTAGACACTTGAAAAGTGTCCAATGTGTGATCCAATAGAAAAGCCGGCATAGTGATCTTGTTTGCTGTGTATTGATTTTGTTGTGTATCTAATAATGATGATGTATTGTCGAAGGCTTCTATGGCCAGAATCACTGGGTTGTTGTAGTCTTTTTCGGTATATATAGCTATGTTCTAGAGGCATTCTCTTCTGACGTTTTGCCTGCATCTATGGCAAGCATCCTCAGAGGTCGTGAGGTCACAACCTCTGAGGATGCTTGCCATAGATGCAGGCGAAACTTCAGGAGAGCATGCCTCTAGAACATGGCCATATAGCCCGAAAAACCTACAACAACCCAATAATAATAATAATAATAATAATAATAATAATAATAATAATAATAATAATAATAATAATAATAATACCAAGAAGCCCTGTGGTCCTTAAGAGTGTGTTTTCTTTTGCTATCTTCTTAAACTGGATTCTATGCGAGTTTCTGAAACAGTAGTCCTAGGGTTTGCTACAATCCCAATTAAACACAG